CTTTTATCCTATTTTTCTTATTTCTTTTTTTCTTACTTTTTGTCTTTCCTTTTATGTTTTTCTTATTTCTTTTTTTCTCTCTTTTTTTTTGTTTTTCTTATTTGTTTTTTTTTCTTTTCACTTTTTCTTTTATTCGGTTTTCCTTCTTTCTTTTTTTTATGTACTCCTGCTTCTACTAAAGCCGATGGTTTACTGCAGCTCTTTTGCGGAATATCTTATCGGGTTCTCTGCTTCTGCACTGTGCTTATGGTTTATGTTTTATTTGTGGTTTTGTTGTTGGTTTTGATATGAGTTTGTACTTACTGTTATTGTTGCTAAGTTCATTTCGGTTAATATTGTAATGATGATGGTTATTATTATTGTTTTATAACTATTTTATTACTGTTATTAGCATTATAGATGTTTTGTTGTTGTTATTATTATCAGCGCCATTATTTCTAATCGTCGAATGGCATTCACCAGTTAGAAACCCCATTAAAAGTTCCACTGGAGAGGCAGTAAATTCATCTTGCCGCTTTCACCCATTACATCGTTCCATTTTTTTCTTTTATACCCATTATTTCATCAACTTATTCATTTATGCCCTGCAAAGGACCCCCCCCCACACACACACACACACACTTCCATAAATTCTAGCAGGATTCCCATTGATATCGTCGGCTTTCTGTCAATTTCGGACAGCCCCATTATTCCACGGCCCATTAGCTTTCACACCATTTCAGATCCACCTGGCCTAAATAAGTCAGTCCCGATCGAGGTGATGAGGAGACAATGGTGCTTGCGTGCTTGCCTGCGTCCGGATCCTTGGCTTGGTTGTGAGGCGTTCGATGGTTGTGAGGATTCTTGGGTTGCTTTCTCTCCCTGGTTTACTTTTCTCTTTTTTTTCTTCATATTTTTTTCTGTCTCTCTTTTTCGTTTTATTTGTTTTTTTTCCTTTTTCTTCTTCTCTCTCCTCTCTCTCTCTCTCTCTCTCTCTCTCTTCTCTCTCTCTCATCTCTCTCTCCTCTCTCCTCTCTCTCTCTCTCTCCTCTCTCTCTCTCTCTCTCTCTCTCTCTCTCTCTCTCTCTCTCTCTCTCTCTCTCTCTCGTCTCTCTCTCTCCTTCTCTCTCTCTCTCTCTCTCTCTCCTCATCTCTCTCTCTCTCCCTCTCTCTCTTCTCCTCTCCCCTCTCTCCTCTCTCTCTCTCTCTCTCTCTCTCCTTCTCTCTCTCTCTCTCTCTCTCTCCTCTCTCATCTCTCCTCTCTCTCTCTCTCTCATCTCCCTCTCTCTCTCTCTCTCTCTCTCTCTCTCTCTCTCTTCTTCTCTCTCATCCTCTCTTCTTCCTCTCTCTCTCTCTCTCTCCCTCTCTCTCGCATCTCTCTCTCTCCCCTTCTCTCTCCCTCCTCGCCCACCCGCGCCCCGCCCTCTCTCATCTCTCTCTCCCCCCCCCTCTCTCTCTTCTCGGTCTGCCCCCTCTCTCTCTCTCCCCCGCCTCTCTCTCTCTCTCCCCTCCTCTCCTCTGCCTCTCTTCCGCCCTCTCTCATCTCTCCCCCTCATCTCTCATCTCCTCTGTCTCTTCCTGTCGGGTTTGGGCTTTCTTCGGCGGCGGGTTTCCGTGGGCTTTCAACCTCCTCCACTCTCGTCCGCACAGCCCAATTCCCTGCACACCCTCCTCCCTCCCTGCCTTCCTTCCTCTCTCTCCCACTACTCCGCTTCACTTTTCTTCATTTCTTCTCTCTCCTACCTTTCCATCACTTTTCCCTCTCTTCACCTCCTTACCTCATGACTCCCAATGTAGACGGCAATGGAGTGACGCATGAATTAACGTTGGTGAAAACAGATTAACATGGAGAAAGTGGAAGTGGCGAGGAACGGATTATATGCGTATAAAAAAGGGCCCCATGAATGTACACAGCCGAAAGGGGGATAAAAAAGTAGGAGGAAAGGAGAGAGGGGGAGAAGGGGGAAGCCCGAGGGAGAAAGGAGAATCCGGGAGAGATCCGCGGGGTAATGGGAGGGAAGGTGAGGAGGAGGCGGAAGATGGAAGGAAGCCGAGAGCGGGGGGGAGGAAAGGAGGAAAAGAGGAGGGAGGGCGGACACATAGCAGAGGGGTTAGAGAGGAAGAGAGAGAGAGAGAGAGTATGGACGCGGAGAAAAAAGGGAGAGCAGAGAGAAGGCATAGAGAGGGAAAGAAGTAAAAGCGGAAGGAGGGAGAAAAGAGGTCCGGGCGATCAGAGGACCACCCAGGAGAGCGAAATCGGAGGAACGCGCGTTGGAAACCACGGCAACTAAAAATGTGGAAACTAGAATTGGCAGTTCCCGTCACCCGTTTCTCGCCGCTGTTTTACGCCCAAAGAGGAGACAGTTCCCAGACTCTTAATGAATGCAACAGCGAATACATTGTCTCGCGTTCCACACCATCGTCTCTCACGCTGCGCCGTTATGCATTGCCCATCTGTTTTGCAAAATTTCGATTAATATGCCTCTTTTGAGTTTTAAGCTCGTTCTATTATATTTTTCGGTTATTGTACACCTTGTTATTAAGTCCTATTTTTGTGTGTGCATATATTGTGTTTCGTATAATTCCCGTGTTTATATATAGGCCTATATAATGTTAAGCCATTTATTTTTTTAATGACTTGATTATACCCTGTGGTCTGCGCTTGCATACCTAATTATGCGTGTTTCATTATACATGGAGACTTACTTTTCCACGCGGTTGTTATAATGTATCATGCATTCAGATATACTGTATACATATAAACGTTATGTATAGATAGACTTAATATTAATACGTGTTTCCTGTTAATCATTTGTTTTATTTTCTTTCTTTTTTCTTTTTTTTTTTACTATGCAACCGTGGTTAAATCGAGCAAATGTTAATTAAACACCACACCGTAGACCTATTTACTAACAAACGCGATATGCACACAGACCTAATTACCATGCCAGCACTGCTGATCATACATCGCGGGCCATTAATAAATATCCATGGGCAGACGCTACTTATAACTCGACGCTTATGATTCATCCGGTACCAATCGAGTCCTAAATAATTTCCATGACTTTTGCGGGCGGAAACTCCCTCCTCAGCTCTCCGGACGCGCCGCCATTACCATGGGCGGTGCGGGCGTATACATGGTTGGCTGGGGTGGGGTGGGGTGGGGAGTGGGGTGGAGTTGGGGGTGGGGGATTGGGTAAAATGGTTCGGATTGGGGTTGATTTTGCGGTTTTGGGATTAGGGTTGGGTTTCGCGGTTTTGCTTTCAGTTCAATTCGGTTTAACGGAGGGGGGTTCTCTTTATTCTTCCGTGCTTTTTGTGGACTCGTCTCTGCGTTTTTTTTTCCACACCTACTGCTTGCTACTTTTTCTCATTCCCCGTCATCCCCTCACTCCTGCTCTCTCGTCTAACTCTCTCTCTCCTCTCATTCTCTGCTCGTCATCGTGCTCTCGTCCTGATCATCATTCTCTGCCCTCTCAATCCTCTCTACTCTTCCCGCCTCGTCATCGCAATCTCACTCTATCTCGCCGCCCCCTCTCTCAGCTTACCACCGCTGCAGGCTCTCATAAGATAACTTACACTCTCCGCACATAGCTTCTGGATAATCATCTCGTCTCTCTCTCTCTCATCTCTCTTCTCGTCTTCGTCCTCATCTTCCAGTCTA